GACAGGGTGGCATGAGGAGAAAGGGAAATTGGTTGAGGCCCAGAGGTGCCAGAGAGGCGCCAGGGTCAGCCCTCATGGGGCCGAGCGTCACCGTGGGGAGCCAAGGAGGAAGGCGGTAGGGCAGGCATCTGGGCACTCTCGCCTAAGCAGACAGCAGACGTAGGTCAGGGAAGCAAGAAGGTCCCTGAACAGAGAAGACAGAAGCGCTCTGGGGGAGGGGCCTGGCCACTGCATAATCTCTGTGTTGGAAGAAAGTTACTTCCCTCTCTGGGACTCAGTTTCTCAAAAGTAGGGCTTGAGGCCCCATACCCTCTTAGGTTCTGGGTTCCATGGCAAAGCTGTCTACCAGGCCCAGTCCTGGGGTTCTGTTTGCTCCTTTGTCTTTGCCGCCCTCCCACCCCCAGCTGATGGCCGCTGAGTGCGGAGCCTGTTTCTCTGCCGTCAGTCCTGCCACACCTCTGTAGTCTGGGGAACTGCCGAGATGGGGCCGTGGGCAGGGGGCAGGACACGGCGTGGCAAGGCCTGAGCCCTGGGACCGGGCCGCGTTTGGCCTCCCTGGCTGGACGGTTGACTCTCCGGTGCTGTCCAGATTATCAGCGAGGAGCGGTTTCGGCAGCTGGAGAAGATTAAGACAATCGGGAGCACTTACATGGCCGCCTCAGGGCTGAACGCCAGCACCTACGACCAGGTGGGCCGCTCGCACGTCACGGCCCTGGCCGACTACGCCATGCGGCTCATGGAGCAGATGAAGTACATCAACGAGCACTCCTTCAACAACTTCCAGATGAAGATTGGTGAGAGGGCCTGGCGCCCCGCAGGTTTCCCCAGGACGGCTTCCGGGGGCGACTCACGGGGGTTGCTGGGGATCTGAGACGCAACACAGCCCCTCTTAAGGGGTTTTGTTTTCTTTCACCTCCTGTAATGTCCAATATTAGGAACAGAGATCACGTAGGAGAGGTCTGTTATGTGCTAGGAATTTTTTTTTTCTTTTTGTGTCACACCTGGCAATGCACAGGTGTTACTCCTGGCTCTGCACTCAGGAATTACTCCTGGCGGTGCTCAAGGGACCATATGGGATGCTGGGAATCGCACTCGGGTCAGCTGCATGCAGGGCAAACGCCCTACCCGCTGTGCTATCTCTCCAGCCCTAGTGTGCTTGGGATTTTTTTTTTTTTTTTGCTTTTTGTGTCACATCTGGCAATGCACAGTGGTTACTCGTGGTTCTGCACTCAGGAATTACTCCTGGCGGTGCTCAGGGGACCCTATGGGATGCTGGGAATCGAACTCGGGTCAGCCGCATGCAGGGCAAACGCCCTACCCGCTGTGCTATCTCTCCAGCCCCAAGTGTGCTAGGAATTTTTAAGCACATTTTAATACCCAATATTGTCATACCTTTTACAAAGAGAAAAAATCAGCCAGTTGGGCTGGAGTACAGCAGGGAGGGCACTTTCCTTGCATGCGGCTGACCCAGGTTTGATTTCTGGCACCACGTATCGTTCCTTGACACCAGGAGTGATCCCTGAGCTCAGAGCCAGGAGTAAATTCGGATCGCTGCTGGGTGTGACCCCCAAACAAAACAACAACAACAACAAAATCCGCCAATGTCAAGCTGAATGGCTGAACTGGAGTTTCAGAACAGATCTCTCACGGCTCCCATCACAGCACCCTGATCTCTGGCCAGTCTGATCGAAGACACTTTCTCTCCGCGGATTGGTGCCTGTAATGGTTCCCAAGCCAGACCAGCTGCTTTGAATTCTGGCAGTTCCACTTACTGACTTGCAGCTCATTATTTGACTTCTCTCAGCTTCTGTTCCCTTCGCTGTAAAATGGGCGTGATCATGCCTACGTGCATGATCTAATGGGCCACTGAGAGGGTGAACTAATGGGAAATGTTTGGCACAGAGTGGGTAATCAGTAGGTTAGCGAGTGTCAGTGCACTGCTGGGACTTGGAGGAGGCGGAGATGGGGTGACAGGAGGTGGGGCAGCCCCGAATCTCAGCCCGACTGCTCTCCCCACACAGGGCTGAACATGGGCCCCGTGGTGGCAGGTGTCATCGGGGCCCGGAAGCCGCAGTATGACATCTGGGGAAACACAGTGAATGTGTCTAGTCGTATGGACAGCACGGGAGTCCCTGACCGAATCCAGGTGAGGGGTGCTGGCAGAGGTTGGGGGGTCGCTCTCTGCTCTCTGCTGGGACAGGGTGGCAGTGCTGTGTGGTTGGCGGGGAGGGGAGCTGGTGTGGTTGGAGGGCCCCCGGGTCCCTGCAAATGCAACAGGAAGGTTCTCAGGCTAAGCAGGTTCCCTTCCCTGCCAGGTGACCACAGACCTGTACCAGGTTCTCGCTGCCAAGGGCTACCAGCTGGAGTGCCGAGGGGTGGTCAAGGTGAAAGGCAAGGGCGAGATGACCACTTACTTCCTCAATGGAGGCCCCAGCAGCTCATGAGGCCCTGCTGCCAGTTCCGCTGGAAGGACTGAGGTGGGCATTTTGAGTGGCCTCTGCTTGCTGGGTGGAGCCTCCGGACCGTACAGGCTGCTCTGGCCCGGGCCAGTGCTCGGCTGCCCTCGGCTGGTGGATAAGGGGCGACCAAAAGGACATGTAGGTGACTTTGTCTGAACGGGCTAGAACTGTTCCCTCTCCTCTGCTAGCTTTTGGGAGCCGGAGAAGGGGTGGCAGTGCTTCAGGGGAGCCCCCTGCCGAGGGGTCACTGGCAGCTTGCCTTGTCTATCCTTTCCCTGCCTGTCCGTGCATCAGGCTCAGGGCTGGGCCTTCTTTTCTCTTTCTCCTGGGACTCCTGTCCCGAGACCGGGGCAGGCACGGGAATGTCCGTTCCATGCTTGCCTTCACCCTGCCCGGGCCCCCGTCCTGGGACTCGCCCTCTCCCGGCCGACACTCCCTTCTTTACACAGGGCAGAGGGAGGTGCATGGGGGACCTAATTCTGCCCATATTTCAGGGGAATGTTTCCATTTGCCAAATCCGAGTCCCGTGATCTGTCCCCAAAGGGGAATCCAGGGACTTCTGACAGCCCAGGTTCCTGCAAGCTCCAGGGACTTTGACGCCTGGCTTCATCAGTACTGTGAAAATGCCCGGCTGGAGAGGGTGTGGATGACGTGAGGTGGTCAGGAGCTGCACACTCACTGCAAGTGCCAAAGAGCAGACTGGCCCGGGAGGGCGTGGTGCCAGGCGCTGGTGGCAGCCTCCCCCCCCCCCCCGCCCCCGCTCTCTTGCTGTTTCTGGCAAGGGGCCACGGAGCCTCTCCACCCCTTCTGTTGCCAAATAGAAAAGGGTCAGGCCCGGAGGAAGGCCATCCCGATCCCAGCCCCGTCCTCAGGCGCTTGTGGGGGGGCTGTCTGTGTGTGCATGGCAGCCCCTTCAGTAGCGCCGTCTCCATGTGCATCTGCTCCTCTGCTCTCCGCTTGGATGGCCCACCTTCTAGGAAAAGGCAGACCTCCCTGTTTCAAGGGATGGCGAGATGCCCGGCTTGCACAAGAGTGGAAAGGGGGGTAGCAGCAAGAGAGGGGTGGGTCCTGGGGAGGGGAGTCCTTTTTGTGCCAAATCCCTAAGTGCCGTTCAGGGCCCCAGGTGCAGCCTGACTGTCCCCCTGCCCACTCAGACAGGGGCCCCTGCGCCCGCTAAGCCCCAGTGTTCTTGCAAGGAGCTGCCCGGGGTGTAGCGGGCAGAGCTCAGCAAGGTCCCGGGTTTCCCAGCGTCTGTGCCGGGATGTGCTATGCCCTGGGACTGGGGTAGCCCGCGATCCTCTGAGGACTCAGGTACGAGAGAGGCAGTGGGAGCTTGGCTCTCCAGCGCCGTGACCGTGCTCGGCTGGCCCTGCTCCTGGATCTGCTGCCCCCCGAAGCCCTAGGCTGGCCAGGAGGGCTACGAGGCCGGGCTACAGACTGCCTTCCTCCCGGCCTGTTCTCACCCCTTTGCCTGCACCTTTTCCCTCTGGTCTAAATCAGATGGTGCCTTGGTTTCTCTGTGTGTGCTTTGTCCCGCCAAGGTATTAGCCTGTGATCTGTTTGGAAAGGGCTTTGGCTGTGATCAGAGAGGCAGAGGTGCGAAGGTCCCCGAGTTGCCAGGTTGGGGAGTGAGGGGCAGATGGCACGCCTGCCCTTTTCTGTCGCCGGCTTTACAGAAGCCGGTTTCTGGCTGGCGCTTCCCACTCTAGGGAATCTGCTTGTACCACCCCAAAGGCCCAGCAGGTCTTCATTAGCCAATGCAGGAAAAGGGGGAGAAGACCAGTGGGTCCCAATGGAAAATCAGCTCCCCCTCAACAGCCATATCCCCAGATAGGAAACCACCCCTTGAATCTGTGGAGAGGGGGTTGGGGAACAGGAAGGTGAGGAAGGATCTTGGTAGAGACCAGAATGGAAGGACCCCGGCCTGGTTGACTTGTCTGATTCGGGAAGCATCTGTCTCGCCCCGGCTCCCCACACCACAGTGCCAGCAGCCCCCCGCGGGCTCCCGGGTCCCCTTCTCGCAGTGGGGGAGGGAATCAGTGCATGGGGAGCCAGTGGATTGGGGTTTTCTAATGTAACCACTGTGGGGGGTACCATGTATTTCAGTGAAATATTTAATATATTTAAATATCAATAAAATCAAACTCTTTGTAAAATTCCCTGTTCTCCCCAGTGTTCTGGGTCCAGGTTCTGGGCTGGTTGTGTAGTGTCTGTACTTGGTGTCAGCTCCTACGGCTGGAGGCTCTCCTGGCTTCTCTCTGCCTGGGGTTGCTGCAGGGCCTCTGGGGCTTGACCACACAGAGCCCTTCAGCGCCCACGGAGCCCTGCTGTGCACGAGGCCAAGCCCTTCTGTGGTGGCCTTTCAAGTGCTCGGGGGCCTTGCCCAGCCAGACTCCTGGTGTGGCTCCGTGGAGTATCTCTCCCATATCTGATCTCGCAGGTATGTGCTGGAATCATTTCCTCTCCCCCGGCCCCACCCCAGTGCACACAGCTGGCTTCAGTGCAACCTCTTTACTGTGTCTTATGGTCCCTGCCCCCAGTCAGTCCTGGGAACCCGGACACCCCCTCATTGCCTCCTTCCAGACTCCATCTCGTCTTTGTGCAAACTGTATCCTTCTCAATATAGACTGAAGGTTCTGTCATTGAGAAGAGAGTGATCCATGAATCTGGAAAAGAGAGACAAAGTCTCAGGTTCAGACAGATTTGGGGAGTGGGAGGTGGGGACAGAAGAGATTGGGAGATACACACAGGGAATCATGTTTCTGAACTCCTACATGCTTGGCTGTGCCTGTTCAGAAGTCATCCTTCAAATCATTAACCACTTTGAATGCCACCACTGCCCAGATTCTGGCTAAGAGTTCACCAGCTTTCACTGGTAAAATCCAACCCTCTTACTTGTTCCTATCTTTGAATTGATTGAAACAGCCTCTGGGATGGAAGGGGGAGCCCTTCCTTTGGTTCCCCTGAACCCCTCAAAGCCTGACCTGGTCATCGGACTTTTGCTGAGGCAATAGCGGGGGCTCCGCATCCATGGCATGGTCTCCTCGGGGCGCACTCCTGGAGCTGCACTGCGCCAGAAGCTGAAGTTCTGAGCGTCAGTCAAGGGCACTCTGAAGACCTGATTAGGGACTAAATGGTTGCAGAAAGGGCAGGTTATGCTATTGCTTTATTTATTTATTTATTGCTTTTTTGGGGTGACACCTGGCGATGCACAGGGGTTACTCCTGACTCTGCACTCAGGAATTACTCCGGCAGTGCTCAGGGGGCAATATGGGATGCTGGGAATTGAACCTGGGTCAGCCACGTGCAAGGCAAACACCCTACCAGCTGTACTATCGCTCCAGCCCTGCTTTTTTATTTATATTTAGTGAGTTATTTTGGTTTGGGAGGCACAACCAGCGATGCTTAGGGATGACTCCTGGCGGAGCTTGGGGGACCATATTGGATGCTGGGGATTGAAACCAGTCAGCCACGTGCAGGGCAAGTGCCTTTCTGCTGTACTATCCCTCCTCCGCCTCACAGTTGCTTTTCATTTCTATTTTTGTGATGATTGAACCCAGGGTCTCACTCATGCAAAACAAGTGCCCTGCTACTGAGCCACATCCCTAGCCAGTCATCCAATATCTTGAGAAGGTTCTCAGCCCCCACCCTTTTTGTTTGTTTTCTCGGCCACACCCAGTGGTGCTTAGGGCTAACACCTGGCTCTGCACTCGGTGATCTCTCCTGGTGGGCCCAGGGGACCACAGGACGTGGAGCCCAGCATGGAGCCACAGGTCAGCCACATGCACAGCAAGGCCCTATTCGCTGTACTCTTTCCTGCCCTCTCACTGTCACTGTCCCCCCGTTGTTCATCAGTTTGCTCAAGCAGGTCCAGTGATATCTCCATTGTGAGACTTGTTGTTACTGTGTTTGGCATATCGAATACGTAGCTTGCCAGGTTTTGCCGTACGGGCGAGATACTCTCGGTGGCTTGCCGAGCTCTCCAAGAGGGGCGGAGGAATCAAACTCAGGTCGGCGGTGTCAGCTGTGCGCAAGGCAAACGCCCCACCTGCTGTGCTATCGCTCTAGTCCTAATAACCTTAAAATATTTTATACTTAAGAGATAACTATTTAGAGAATTTATTCATGAACATTCAAAAAAAATGCCTGAAAGTAGTTTTTCAAATTAAAATGTAATTGTAAGATAATTACAAATTCACAAACAGTTGTGAGGAATGATTCACACTTGCCTACTTCCCTGTAGTAGTACATTATGTGGGAGAGGAGACCGGATTCCAGCCAGGGTGTCTACCTGGTGTTCTACAGTAATTGGCCTGTGTATTAGTGGTGCTGGAATTGCCTTTCTTTATCTACCCTGCCGGGCTGGAGCGATAGCACAGCGGTAGGGCGTTTGCCTTGCACACAGCCAACATGGCCGACCCGAGTTCGATTCCTCCGCCCCTCTCGGAGAGCCTGGCAAGCTACCAAGAGTATCTCGCCCGCACGGCAGAGCCTGGCAAGCTCCCCGTGATGTTTTCCATATGCCAAAACACAGTAACAACAAGTCTCACGAAGGAGACGTTACCGGGCCCGCTCGAGCAAATCAATGAGCAACGGGAGGACCGTGACTGTGATCTACCCCGTTGGGTAACCAAGCATCTGTTCTTCATTTCCTTGATTCTTTTCATTAAGAATGTTATATAAAAGTATCATGCACGATGTGATCTTTTTGAGATAAATCCCTTGGTGATTCTGCCTACTATACCTGTCCATAGTTCATCTTCGATGCTTTTTCTAAAGCTCATTTTATCTGATGTTCGCAGTGCTAGAGTGCTTCTTGCTTTCCTGTGGTTCAGTGAAGCTAATTACAGAAACTTGCTCAGAATCACACAACCTGCTGCTGTTCAAAATGGATTTCAGCCCTAATGCTTGTTCTCCCTCCTCACAATCCACAAAATCCTTTCCTAATGGTCTATTTTCAGTTTGATCCTTACAACAATTAAGATTGAGACTTGGCCTTTTATTTTTTTTTTAAGATTTTGGGTAATTCCTGCTGATGCTCAGGAGTTACTCCTGGCTGCACTCAGGAATCACTCCTGACAGTGCTCCAAGATGCTAGAGATTAAACCCAGGTAGACCGCGTAAATGCCTAATCTGCTATAGTATCTCTCTGGCCCCACGCTTGGCATTGTTGGTGCCTTTGTTTTGTTTTTCAACAAATGAACAAGGTTAATAAAGGATATGACTGCCTCTTAGGGAGACAATTAGAAAAAAGGCAAAACCAAGACTCAAATCTTCCAAGTCTGATTCAATTTTTATTTTGTCATGTCACGCCATAATTCAAGTTTATGTTCTCCTTGCTCTTCTCAGTCTCTCGCTGTGGCTTTTTTCCTTTCCTGCCCTATCGTCATGCCCTACCATACCACATCTCATTTCTGATTTTTTATAGTTATGGGAGCCACACCCAGTGGTGCTCAGGGGGTGATGCAGTGCTGTGGACTGAACGGGCCTCACACATGCAAGGACTGTGCCCTCCCACTAAGTTATATTCCTGGCCCAGCCATTCCTGAGGACTCAGGTACACCCATTGAGCCTACCAGATGTCTGGTCCATAGACTTACATGGTTTTTTATTTTTCATTAAAGAGCTGTAATTTACAAAGTGATTGATAGTTGTTTTTTTGCAGATAATATTTCAACACTAATCCCACACCGGTGTCAACTTCCTTCCATCAGTGTTCTCATATTCCCTCTCCACCCCAACCTCCACACTGTCCCAGCCTGTCAACTTGACAGGCACAATCCAGTGCTTTCAGCTGAGGTTTCATGTTTTCAGTTTTGTTGAGTATGTGTTTGAGACTTACGTGTTTTTAACAAAACCTTCCGGACTGCTTCCTGGTACTTTTCATGGCTATTTTGGTGCACAGGATAGTTCCCATCTTCTGAGAAAATAGGGGGAAGCCTGGTGGGTACTTTTTCTTCCTGGTCTGAAATGAGAGCAGACTTGTTCTGAGTGCAGCAAATAGAGCTCTGGAATGCCCTTACTCTCTGGTCTGACAGAGACCATTCCTCCTATCTTGCACCCAATTATCAGGGTCTCAGGAGCCCAATCTCAGGATTTTAGGAGTTTAAATCCCAGGGACCTGTGAAGGAACACCACTTGGTCTCCCTCATTGCTTTTGCTCCTCCCAGATTCCTGGATTTTTTTTTATTGTCTTCTGTTATGAGGAGGATATTGACAGATACTGAGCCCTACTTCATGCCAGTGAAAAAAACCTCTTATCTAGATGGACACACCTTTCCTGGGATTGACATATTTGCAAGGGTTCATTGGCTCTCAAAGAGGAAGTTATGTTTGAGCTAAGTTACTGAAGATAAGGAGTTCATGGGACCCAGTGGTATCAGGAAGAGCATGTCAGGCAGCAAGAGGGTTCTCAAGAAGCTGGCAATTGATTTGGAGCCTGATTAGTGCTCAGTGAAGTAGAGAGGGACATAGGGGCATGGCTGGAAAGGTAAGTAGGGTAGTACAGACTTAGTGTTTTTTAGGTTCATTAGGAATGGAACCCAAGCCCTCAGAGATGCAAGGCAAGTGCTCTACCACTGAACTACATCCCTGGCCAGACTTCATTTCAGACTTCATTCTAATGGGTAACTCCTGACTCTGCACTGAGGAATCACTCCCGATAGTGCCCAGGGATGCCGGGATAGAACCTGAGCCAGCCTTGTGCAAGGCAGGCACCCTAACCACTGTTCTATCTCTCCAGCCCACAACGCTTCTCTTTGTAAAGGCCAAAACTCTTTGTAGAGACTGGATCTTTCTTATTTTGGCTATGCTATAAATGGTTTGTGTTCGTTCCTCCAAGATTTTTATGTTGAGCCTGAAGAGTTAATATAGCAGGAACGGTGCTTGCCTTATGTGCAGCCATCCTGGTTCAATTTCTGGTCAATTTATGCACCCCTGAGCTGTCAGGTGTCATTTGAGCACAGAGCCAGGCAAAGTCCCTGAGCACTGCTGGGTATGACCCAAAGACCCAAGATTTATGTTGAAAAACGAATGCCAAAGGGATATTTGAAGTGTGGCTTTGGGGAGATGACTAATTTCTTAAGAATGGAAGAAGTTACAGGGCCAGAGTGATAGTACAGCGGGTAAGGTGTTTGCCTTGCACATGTTTAACCCGGGTTCCATCTACAGCATTCCATATGGCCTCCTAAGCCTGCCAGGAGTGAGTCCTGAGTGCAGAGACAGGAGCAACCCCTGAGCACCCCTGAGCACCACCAGATGTGGCCCCAAAGCAGACAAACAAAAAATAACGGGAGACATTATGTCCTTATGAAAGAGGCATGTGAGGCTGCAGTGAAAAATAGTTTTTGACATAGAAGAGGCCCTCACATGACATGCTGCCAACATGCTTTTGGACTTCCACAACTGTGAGAAGCACTCTACTGTTTATGCACTATCCAGTCTCTGGTATTTTGTCATGGAAACCTGATCATGAAGATGCTTAGCCTTGAGGCTGGAGAGATAGTACAGCAGGCTGGGCACTTGTCTTTTGCTCAGTTGACCTGGATGCAATACCTGCACCCCATATGGTCCTTTGAGTCCCATTAGGAGTGAATCCTAAGCACAGCTGGGCATGTCCCCCCCCCCGCAAATAAAATAATAAAAATCCTCAAAATAAATGAGGATGAATACACAAACATCAGAATCTATGAAGCACAGAAAAAGCAGTATTAAGGGGAACTCCACAGCAATACAGGGTACATCAGACAAACATAAAAGCTCAAATCAATAGCCTAACGTCATAGACTGAGAAACTGGAAAAATAAGAACAAATTAATCCCGAAGTAAATAGAGGGGAGAAAAAAAAACAAACCGGAACATGAGAAACTGGAAAAATAACAACAAATTAATCCCAAAGTAAATAGAAGGGAGAAAATAAATGAGAACAGGGCCAGAGCTACAGTACAGAGGTTAAGATGCTTGTGTTGCATGTGGCCTCTTCTGGTGTGTTCACTGGTATTGCTGGGAGTAAGTCTGCGGCACAGACTAGGAATAGTCCCTGTGCACTGCTGGGTGTGGCTCTCTCGGAGAGCCTGGCAAGCTACCAAGAGTATTCGATATGCCAGACACAGTAACAACAAATAACACCCCCAAAATAAAGTTTAATAAATCAGGGCTGGAGAAATAGTACAGCATATAGGGTGACCTCGGTTCCATATGATCCCCTGAGCCCACCAGTAGTGATCCCTGAATGTAGAGCCAGGAGTGAGCCCCAAGCACAGCTTAGTGTAACCAAAAAAAAGACCGCTCCCCACCAAAACAAAACCGGAAATCAATGGTATGTAAACCAAGAAAAACTATACAAAAGGTAAATGAAACCAGGAGCTGGTCTATTCGAATGAATAAACAAGTCTGACAAACACTTAGCTACTCACAAAGGTGAGGGTGGGGAGAAAGCCCAAATAAATCAAACGAGATGGAAAGGGAGAAATTACAATGGTCAGAAATACAAAAGATCCTAAGAGGTTTCTGTGTCATTAAGCTGGAAAATTTAGAAGAAATTGATGAATTCATGGACTCAAACTCCTGACTGAACAGGAAGAATTGGAAAAACTGAAGAGGCCAATGATGAGAAAGAAATTAAAACTGCAGTTAAGAAATTCTACAAGTTAAAAGCCTAGGTCCAAATTGGTTCAGTGAGTGCTACCAATGGAAATCAAAGCGACAATGATATCTCACACCAGTGAGAATACATACATCAAAATAGACTAAACAATCAGTTTTGGTGCAGATGTGGAGAGTAAGTAACTCTCGTTCACAGTTGATGGGAATATCACCTACTTCAGCCTCTGAAAATCAGGAGATTTCTCAAAAAATCAAGAATAGCAGCCAAAGCGATAGTACAGCAGATTAGGAGTTTGACTTGCATGCGGCCCACCTGGGCTCCATCCTATGCACTCCACAAGATCCCCCAAACTCACCAGGAGTGATTGTGAGCACAGATTAGGAGTAAGCCCTGAGCATAAACGGTGTGTCTCCAAATTAATAAACTCAGGCTGGAGAGATAGCATAGTGGGTAGGGCACTTGCCTTGCATGTGGCCAACCTGCGTTCAATTCCCTGCCTCCCATATGGTTCCCTGGAGCACAACCAGGATTAATTCCTAAATGCAAAGCATGGAGTAACAGTGTATTGCCAGATGTGGCTCTGAAAACAAAACATCAGCAAACACACAAAAGAAGAATAGAGCTCCCATATGATCTAAAGATTCCAATTCTAAGCGCAGAGTCCCCAGACACCAAAAACATCCAGTGAAAAAGATAATATGCACTAATAACTAGCATATGGAAACAACCTGAATGTCTAACAACAGATGAATGGATAAAGTTGTGGTATAGGGACCACACCTGACCACATTCTAGGTGTGGCCCCAATACCACAATTGCATTGCATGAAGCTGCAGTGGATGTGACCCCAATTTAAATTCCAGCAATACAATGCTTAACAACCCTGAGCATTGCTGAGTGGTCCAATCCCTTTTCACCGCCCCCCCCCCAAAAAAAGAATAAAGAGATAAAATAAATAAAAGAAATTGTGGTATATTTGCTCGAGCGGGCCCAGTAACGTCTCCATTGGAGACTTTGTTGTTACTGTGTTTGGCATATCGAATACTCTCGGTAGCTTGCCGGGCTCTCCGAGAGGGGCGGAGGAATCGAACTCGGGTCGGCCGTGTTGGCTGCGTGCAAGGCAAATGCTCTACCTGCTGTGCCATAATGAAATACTTTGTAGCCTTAAAAAAGATAAATCTTTTGTTTGGGGAGAGGGGGTGCCGCACCTCCTGGCTTCCACTCAGGAATCACTCCTGGCAGGGTTTAGGGAACCACAGGAGTGCTGGGAATCAAACCTGGGTCAGCTATGTGCAAGGCAAGTGCCTTAACTCCTGTACTATTTTTCCTGTTCCTAGGTAAGTTTGAAAGTATGTAATTTGGTTAACAATAGACTATGTTGTACAGCTTTCTAGGACTGAGTCATCTTGTATAATTACTATCTACCATTTCCTCCTTCCCTAGCCTCTGGCAACTGCTTTTATACTGTTTCCATGAGATTGTTTTATTTTTCCATTTAAAAATATGTTTAGGGGTCTAGAATGATAGTGCAGTAGGTAGGGCATTTGCCTTGGACGAAGCCAACCCAGGTTCAATCCCTGGCACCCCATATCAGCACCACCCCACTCCTGATCCACCAGGAGTGATTCCTGATCACAGAGCCAGGAGTAAGCCCTGAGCACTGCCACTGCCGCGAAATCACCTTACCCACTGTCCTACCACTGTGGCCCTACTGTGAAGAATGCTTTGGTTAATAATGATTATAACAGTATAAACAGTGGGTAAGACACTTTTGTGGCAGTGGCAGTGCTCAGGGCTTACTCCTGGCTCTGTGATCAGGAATCATTCCTGGTGGATCAGGAGTGGGGTGGTGCTGATATGGGGTGCCAGGGATTGAACCTGGATTGGCTTCGTCCAAGGCAAAAGCCACAATCTCAGACCCGCGCATGGCTGAACAGACTGGGGTAAATCGAAAAGGGACAGGTTGGTCTGGTGGCCCACCAAAGCAGAGCCCACGGCAGCCACTTGCTTCCACAATCCAAAATTGCCGCCATACCCCAAGCCTGACTCCAACGTCTCAGAACAGACCTCATCAAGATATAATTTGTTGAAAATTCTGGTATGTGGGTTTTGTGACTGAAATCTCTAGGCTTTCTCAGAGTTGGGATGGACTACCTTCCCCCACTTCCCATACTCATGGAAGTACTGGCAGTTTCCCCCATGAACCAACTCCAGTGCCACCCTGTAAGCTTTACTACTGGCCTTACTTCATACGCTCATAAATAAATCCTGAAAGAGCTCAAAACCTGCAGTTAATCTCAGACCCTCACATGGCTGAACAGACTGAGGTAAATCGGAGGGGGACAGGTTGGCCTGTGCCC